GTGCGTCTTAATTACGCTATTTTAATATCAGAAACAGATTTTTCTACTTACCTAATTAAGAAATTCCATGTTGCGATTCCTATATTCCTTTTTTAAATCTGCAAAAATTTCAATGAATTTTACAAGTTTTTGAACGGGGAGCAGGATGAGAAAACTTCCTATGAGCTTTTTACAGAGCTGATTGTATTCTGAGTGCACCCAGGATCTAATCCGAAGAAATTTTCATACGAGTTGCACAGTCTAAAATTTAAATTTCGGAACTTTTGCTTAATCCCATTAACGAGAAGTTACATAAAAGTGCTTTTTTTTCCTCCATTAAGCTGTCTTTCCCAAATTTGAATATTTGGAACTGTGCCGGAATCCACTAATGTAGTGCGTCTTAATTACGCGATTTTAATATCAAAAACAGATTTTTCTACTTACCTAATTAAGAAATTCCATGTTGCGATTCCTATATCGACGATACTTGAAAATTCAATATTAAGATCTGTATTCACGCTTTTTTAAAATCAAGATTGAGTTTTGTATTCATGCTTTTTTGAAATCCAATTTTGAGATTCGTTAAAGTTTACGAAGTTTTCCAGACACTACAATTATGTGTTTTTCCCTTCTGCTGAAATACAGTCAAACCCCGCTATAGTGAACACGGCTTATAGTGAACTCCCGGATATAGTGAACGAAATGCTCGGTCCCGTGCCTTGCTATACACGTATAGTGTTATTATTAGTGGATATAGTGAACCAAAAAAGTGAGGAAGTTGGATATAATGAACTTTTTTCTGTCTTCGACTGATTTCCCCCCTATTTTCTTTGTAATAATTTTGAAATTTCTACTTCAAAATAAATAGATATACCGATTTTTAAAACCATCTATAGAAGCTACTTTTATGTGCTCGAATGGCAGGTTAGACAGGTTTAAAAAGCGGAATAACAGAAATTCAGGAAAAATTATCTGAGNTCTTTAATTCAAATCTTCAATTACAATTAAATTTTTAGACGACTAAAAAAGGAACATCGTATTTTATAATTTAAAAAAAGGATTAGGAATCTGTTATGAGCGGGAAAAAAATGTGAATGAAATTTTACTCTACGCTTGCTAAGTCAAGTTCCTTTTAAATTAACCACATTTAAATATTATTCGCCCCATTTAAATATTTCTTCATTGTCGCCAAATTATTCTGTTCAAAATAATTCATTTTAATTTTTTTCAGCTTCAAACAAATAAAGTCGGTTAAAACTTTAAATTTTGCTATAGAAAAATACGTAGATTAACGCAGTTTAAAAAAAAATTATACTTCATGAAAACATCAAAAAAGATTTTTACAATATGCTAAAATCTTTCTTTATATTTATATTTAAAAAACATGCTTAAACTATGTGTAAAAATTACATTTCCAGACCCAAGATGACTACTTCTAAATGTTGTTTGATTCTAAATGTACATTTTTAGCAAGCTTAATTTTAAATAATATCCTGATATTATTTAAAATGAAACTCACTAATGCACTCATGCAACTCAGTAGTCCCACAGTGGACTGATCGTTAAGACACGGTTCCCATCAGATCACCGAAGTCAAGCATCACTAGCTGCGGTCAGTGTGTGGGTGGGTGACCTCTTGGATCAGTCTGCGTAGGGACCGAGGGTGTGCAGCATTGGTCCTCGTTAAACTGTGCTACCGTAAAGTGCTCGACTTCGCGCGCAGGTCGTCGAGCTACCGAAGCGAGGGTGTCATCCCCTCCGCAGAGGATCAAAATTATGATGGCATGTCTTCGGATCATCCTCCGGGATGTTTCCTAGACCGTCGCCAATAGCCCATTGTGCATCTCTAGTGTGACGTAAATTAACAACAACAGCGACTCAATAACTAAACTGTGAAGTATAAATTGTTCAGTTATTCTTTTTTTAAATCTGCAAAATTTTCAATGAATTTTACAAGTTTCTGAACGGGGGGCAGGATGAGAAAACTTCCTATGAGCTTTTTACAGAGTTGATTGTGTTCTGGGTGCCCCCGGACCCAATCAACATTATTCTAGGAGGAGTTGACCCAATCCAAAAAAATTTTCATACGAGTTGCCCAGTCTAAAATTTAAATTTCGAAACTTTTGCTTAATCCCATTAACGAGAAGTTTACATATAAGTGTTTTTTTCCCTAATTTGTTTTTCTGTTCTAACCTGCTTTAAACAGTTTTTCCCTAATTTGAATATTTGGAACTTCGCCGGAATCCACTTATGTAGTGCGTCCTAATTACGCGATTTTAATATCAAAAACAGATTTTTCTACTTACCTAATTAAGAAATTACACGTTGCGATTCCTATATCGACGATATTTGAAAATTCAATATTAAGATCTGTATTCACGCTTTTTTAAAATCAAGATTGAGGATTGTATTCATGCGTTTTTGAAATCCAATTTTGAGATTCATTAAAGTTTACGAAGTTTTCTAGACACTACAATTATGTGTTTTTCCCTTCTGCTGAAATAGTATATCTTTTCTTTTCTCAGCAGATGATGTCGTTGAAGTATTTTTTATTTCATTTAACTCCTATCTTTCTCACATGCCTTATTCAGTTTCATATAATTATCTGGAAAACATACCTGAGGGCGATTCGGAGATAACATACGTAAGTCGCTTCCCGTTTAACAGAGACGCACATTAACACACCATCCATCCATCCGCAGATCGTAATTTTGTCCTGAACCGGAGGATAATTAATTTCCTATCCAGTACCTTCAGACGCATTGATTTGTTATGGGAACTTAAAGTACGTTGTGACCCCGACAGATTTAGTGGGCACCAGTCACCATCTTGTACAAGGGCTTTTTGGCCGACAGAGATCGAACACACAATCTCTCAGACATAGGCTCAATTCCCTTTCAGTCATATATTTCCGCTATGTGGTGAAAATATTTACACTGGCCCGAGTTATTTGTGGTAGCAGTTACAACATTCTTTCTATATTTAAGCTACTGTTACTCTTTAAAGAACTAATTTCTACAAGTAGTGAAATCTAATGATAACAATATCAGACACAACCAAACTACAAAAATATTTTAGATCAAAGAATTATCTGTTTTTATATTAACCTCTTTTATTAAAATCACTGTTATAATAATGCATAAATATTTGCATGCCGTGTGATCATTGAAGCAATTCACGTAATATAACACTTTGGTCAAGTTTGAGCTAAAAAAGTGCAGTAAAAATTTTCAGAAATAACTCCTAAAACTGAAGACAAATGTTATGCCTAGATCCCCTGAATTCCTAGTATAGTAACCTTAGTTATGGCTTTTTTTTTGTCGTATGCCTGTTTAGGCAGTGGGGGTACGATTGTTCCTGTTTTCAGTGGCGCCATCTATGGCCAGGAATTCGACTTCTGCCACACCATTCACACAAACCGTTTATAGGGCGGGTCACACATTCACACACAAAGGAGAAAGGACATAGAACACACACACAGAGAAAGAAACATCCATGCCTTGCCCGGGATTCGAAACCAGGACCTTTCTGATGCAAGGACAGTTCCCTGTCCCCTACACAGGCGGGTCGGCTTATGCCTTTAACAAGTAATAATTATCCTTGCAATATCACTCGCGCTAATATTCGAATTTAAATCACAAATTACTTTACTGTTTTCCTGCTTTATAGTTTTTAGCAAAGCTTTAAAATTTTAAGTTTTTAATCACCTGATAAATGAAAATGCACTCAAAAGTGACTCGTGAAAATGACAGACTCTAATGACTTATTTTTTTATTCAAATTTATAATACACAACCGTGATTTTTTTTAACCTAATTTTTATAATAATGCTGGATTTCACTTTACACAAAACACGCCTAAACACGCTTTAAATAAAATATTTTCTTAAAATAAAATGATTATCATTAAATATACCACTTTTCGGTTCAATTTCTGTCTTATTTAATTATGTATTATTTAATTATAATTAAGGTTCAGATTTTGCTTAGAGAATAGACTTGTGAACACACTAAGACTTATAGACCAATACATGTACTAAGAGTCCCTGAATTTTTATGTATTTTTTTAAATATGTAAAAACTTAGTCTATCATTCCTATTTATCAATTAAGGATAGAAATTGCATACGTATAGAGAGAATTGTGTACACTTTACTAAAGCACATCCAAGCACTTAGTGCCGTTTTCCAGAACTTTATCTTCTAAAGGCTCCGGTAAGAGCTGGTGCCACGCGATCAGACGACGTGGTCAGCGAGTAAACTTGTATCATATCTCCAAATTTCCACAGTCATATCTTTTGCTAAGGAACTTCAGCCACGTCAACGTAAATTTGCTGCGTATACATGTCTATTTTTTAGTACGCTGCTGGACTAAACTCATAACCAAAACCAGTGGTTTGATCAGTATTTTAACCGATTACACCACCAAGACGCTATTTTTTGCACAGGTGTAAGGTACGGGTTTACAGGTATAGTATTATCAAGATATTATCAGTCAGTTGACTGAGGTACCTGACAGATAATAGCTAGTATTTATCTGAATTACTGAGGATTTAATATCTGCTGAACTAATAGATACCAGCTGATATTATCTATGGAACTTATTATAAATTCCTAAAATGTATAGGTGTAAAAGAAAAAGAAAATACATGTAGCGTATTTAGCCAAGCGGAGAGAAAAACAATCGAGAAAATTTTTACAATTCATCTGATCTTTTCGAGCAATAATGCATATATTAAAAAAGATTTAAAATAATTTTATAAAGATTAATTTCTTTTAAGAAATAAGATACAATTAAAATATGTTTATTAAAATGTCTCTTTTTATAATATTTTATATTAACTACTCCTAACAACTAAATATGATGCTGTGCCATTTTGTAAAATTATTATTCATGCAAATAATCTAGATTCTTATCTGACAAAGTTTTTAAAGTGTACGAACATCCGTTTAGAAGGTTTCAAGTATTTAGAATTTTATTTATTATTTTCGTCAATAATGCTTTTGAATAATTTTTTTTTTTAGAATTAATGTATTGCATCTGAGTGGTGGAATACTTATCATGAGACATCAGAAGAGCTTTCTTACTTTACTTCGGGACCAAAAAACTTCTAGACAAGAGCAAACTGAACTTCAATCATAAAATTTATAGATTACATTTGTTATCAGTGTTTCAGTTGAATACATCAGTTTTATGTGTGACTTGTAAACTCTTTAGAAAATAGGCATAAAATTGACTGTAAAGAACTAATAGCATCTTACTAATAGTTAAAATAACGATATCATCTTTTTGTCCTCAAGAATTTTTTTTTTATTTCTGTGAAGGATGGATAGGAAAGAAATTCCCAGCAGGTTTTTTAAATTCGGGACTTGGAACGTACGTGGTTTAAATGAAGAAAAAAAAAAGAAGAAAATTTTTGCTGAAATTGAAAGAGAAAACAAAGATGTGGTTGTACTTACAGAAACTAAACTCAGAGGGTATGGAAAAGAGGAATATTCGAACTATATCCACGTCTACGGCGGCGTTCATGATGATCCTGCCAGAGCCGGCGTCTCTGTTCTGGTCAAAAAAAAACATTCCTTTGGTATGCGATGGAAAGTAATTAACGAACGAATAATCAGAGTCAGACTTAAAGTGGGGGCGAATAAAATTGTGATCATTGGTTTTTATGGGGATAATGTGTACGCTCGGAATGAATCCAGAATTGTGAAAGCATTAAAAAAAGTTATAGAAGAAAGTATTACAGACGAGATGGTCATTTTAGGGGATTTCAATGCTTGGGTTGGTACATCCGAAGATAGCAAAGAAATTGGAAAATTCGGCGATGAGAGAACGAACAATAATGGCGATATTCTTATTCAAATTTGTAAGGATTTTCGTTTAACGATTTTAAACACCTTTTTTAAACATGAAGACATACGTACATACACTTGGTACGATAGTAAGGGCACAAAGACAATAATTGATTTTTGCATAGTCAGACAAGACACTAATTTGAAGTTTTTGGATGTTTCTGCTTATAACAGCCAGATAACAGATCATAGTTACGTAGAGGCGTTGGCATTAATTCCAAATTTCTCATTAAACGTGTATAATTCCCATTTGCTATTTAATGGGACAATTGAAAAACAATATCAAGATAATCTTGATAGCTATCTTCATTTTGCATTCCAGAATAATGGGTTTAATTCAGCAGCTGATTTGTATAATATCTTCAAGAAAGCGATACATTCTGCCGCTACTGAAGTCTTGGGAATTGATGGACAGGGAGATAGATCCTTATTTCTGTTGAGTGGAATTAAAAAACGTTCAACTGATATTTTACCTTTGGAAAAAGATGCATTTGATATTTCACTTAATGAAAAGTTACAAGTTTGGAAAGGAATTTGCCAAGTTGTTAATGAAATTTCAGAAGAAAAGCATTTTCAAAGGAAAAAATTTATTTGTAACATCTTAAAAGAATTAGAAAATCAGCCTGTTACAACTCTGACAGCAGATAAAAAATTTCTTGAAAACTATTTTAAAGAATGCCGCTCAGAGTTTATTGATGATTTAGAAAATACCATTGAACCATCTGATATTCCTATACCTGTAACTCTTCAAAATATCAAAGAAGTTTTGAATGAATTCGAAGATACTGACTTGCCATCACCTGGTGGCATTAGCATGCGACTGCTGAAGCATGGAAGCTATGCATTGATAAATGTTTTACTCTCGTTAATTCAAGCCATCCTTGGTGGTCAAACAATACCAGAAGAAATTAATGAAATGTTTTTCTTTTACCAGTCTGGTGACGAAGAACAGTTAAATCTTATAAATTGTTCAAAATGCGTTTCCCACACTGTTATGCAGGTCATGAGTGCAATTATAAGGAATTCTATTAAAGAAAGACTTGCATTTCAAGCAAAATGCAAACTAATTCATGAAGTATCATGTTTGGATGCAACTTTTATTCTAAGAAGATTACTTTTGAAGAGAAATATACACTTGCATTTAGTTTTCATCAATTTGGAGGAAGCTTTTCTTGATGTTCCACGCATAAATATGATTAATGAGCTTCAAAATATAGGGATTGAAGACTCCTTAGTGAAGATAGTTGAGCATCTATACAAAGACAACACTGTTCGCATGATCTTTTCAAGCGAAATTTCTAATCTTAGTTACCCAGTATCTAAAGGGCTTAAGAAAGACTGTTCGTTATCCCCAACATTATTTAATGTTTACATTCGAAGGGCAATAAAAGATTGGTTAAAAGAAAACGATAAAAAGGAACTGTCCTTGGACACCCCATATATGTTTTCGTTCCTTTCGGAACAAACGAATTTAGTTGTTCTTTCCGATAGTCAAAAGCATCTAAGTGTTGCAATTGAGAGCCTGCTGAAACATTTGGGGAAACTAAATTTGCAAATCAGTTTCAAAAATATCAAATATTTAGGGATAACCGAAGATGATGAACGTAAACTGAAGATCGGCAAGAAAAACATAGTCAGTGAAGACTCTATTGAGTTCCTTGGATCGGTATTGGAAAGAGGTGGCGGAAACGCTATCGATATTAAAAATCGAATTATAGATACGAAGAATGCAATCTTTGACATGAACTTCATAGCACATAACGGGATGATTACCGATGAATTAAAGAAATACTTTTACCAAACAATCATTGAAAACAGCCTAACCTTTGGTTGTGAAACGTGGCTTAATTTTGATGAAGACTTTCAGTTGGCTCTTCTCGACGTTGAAATGTTTTATTGTAGGTTGAATAATTGTCCTCCGCAAGAAAGGAATGTTATTTCTGTAGTGCATGAAAGGAAGGAAGTTTATTATAATGAACCATTACAATATAAGTGGCCAAAACACTTTCTGGAATGGTGCGAAAACCACTTGGAATCGAATCCCGAAAGGCTAATTAAATGGACCGAGGGCTAAGGTTCTTTTTAAAACATAATCTGAAAAAAAAAACTTAAACTTAAATGTGAGTTAATGCTACTTCACATTTTTGTCGCTGCTGTTATGCGTAATTATATTATATTATGTCATTTTCATATCACCTATTTATAATGATGTTATTATATCATTTATATACGATTATGTGAATATGCTGTTATGTCGATATGCTTATAACGCATTACTAATCTGTTATTTTATAAATTCATAATCTTTCCATATTGATTATTGAACGGAAAACACATGAAAATGCTTTCTAAGCTATAAATTTATTTTTAGGCCTTGAACATTTGTTTTTGTCAACTAGGTGCATCAATTGTATAATTTTGTTTTCTAATGTATTTACTTTTGTTTTCGATCTGTGTATGAAATTACAGCTTTTTGTCTTGATTAAAAATTATTAAAATTTTTTAAAAAAATATGCATAAATGGTGTCGATACTTAATTGATACACCCGTTAAAAAAGAATTTTTAGTAAGTTTACAAGAATATGATCTTTTATCTAAAACAAATGGTCTTTAATCTTATGACACCATTCTTAAAGGTGCCATTTAAATCCACGATATATTACGATGATACCTTTCCAGTTTAAATTGAATTATCTTCGTCAGATTTAAAATGGATCATCGAAAAAATTTGTTGAACCACTTTTTAAACTATTTTTCATGATATGATGAATATTTTGTACTTGATCTACTTTATTTTTATTAGCTTGTTTCATTTCAAAGCTTGTGTGTTTTAAACTTTATGTCACTGAAACCAGTCCAGCAGACTAAAGGTAAATGTTTTATTATCTCTATTCTATCGGACCTTTTAATACTGGATTCGTTTATTGTCCACAGAATATCCAGTTTTATTTTAACACCTAAAGCTCCTTACGCAGCAATAGCTATGGATATACTGTCTACGCATACGCGTTACTTAGTTAGACTGCGTGGGACGTCACCTGTTGGTACACAGAGGAGGAAAAAGAAACTAAAAAGCATTAAAAGACCACCAGTTTAGTATGAAAAAAAACTATTCTGTGGTTATTAATGCTAAAATTAAAATGCTTAAGAGAAGTTTGAACATCGAAGTAACTGTATTTTGTGATACATAATTGTTTATCTCTCTTAACCAAGATTGTTTTGTCACGGTATTGAGCAAAAAATCGCTCACAGACAAACGCGCATTCTAAGAGTTATGTTCTTAGTATAAATATTAGAAGGTATCTGCACTCAATATCAAGTCGACATTTCCACTAAACACGGGATAACTGACTGTAGACGAGTCAAACATTTGAGAAAGAAACGTTTTGGCCGCTTTTATCCTCATATTTCCATTAAGCACAGGATAACTGATTGTAGACGAGTCAAACATTTGAGAAAGAAACGTTTTGGCCGCTTTTATCCTGATATTTCAGTCTTACTTAGTGGCCCTATACATCGCAATCTCATCAAACACTAGGACTATATTCATTAATATAAATAAAATTGCAATTCTTTTGCATAGTGCCTGGAGCAGCATAGCCATTTCTGGCTCTCGTGCCAATATGCTATTACTAGTCAACCAGAAAGTATCTTTTTCGCTCAATACTTAAAACTGAGTAACTCACTTATAGCCCCTGTCCTTTGCTCAATAGGAATGTTAACTCCACAATGGCGCATACATCTACTTCACTATACCAAGTCACCAATTTTACGACCACTGAGTGTTAGCAAGTTTTTAAAAAAAGGGGTTTGGCTAGATGAAGTAGGCACCTTATATACTATATACAAAATTTGGAAAATAATCATACGGTCAACTTTCTACAAGGCTGTCCCTTCGACTATTATCAAAACAAGGTTTTGCTTGCTTAACATAGCTTCATGGTGATACAACGCTATGAGAGTGATGTAAGCAACAAAACTATTATAAACGTAAGGCTTATTACTATTTTTTTCAGAAATACTTCATGTCTATCAAGAACCATATAGAATAACTAGTATAAATCAAGTATGTATTAATCAAAATCACAAAATGCTTTCAAGAGTAGCCTATAAATAGTTCGTAAAAAGGGCTTAGAGGGATTATTTACTGTTATATATATTTTCCAATACCCACCTGGCTAATGACCTAGGTCTTACAGGTACCTGAAAGGCAGATTTGTTGACCACTCCTTCAGGGGCACCATATTAAGTGGGCCAACGTTGCTCCCACAGTAAAGACAGATAGTACAGAGAAGGAAAGAATATCCATGCCTTGCCCGGGGTTTAACCCAGAACCTTTCTGATGCAAGGGCAGTTCCTTATCCCCTACACAGGCCGGTCGGCACTTACTGTTATATACTGTTATTTAAATATATCGTATGATTAAAAAGATCGCAAATGGAAAATATGTTACATTTAAAGGGTGAAATCAGTTTTTTCATAAAATAACTAAATATTTCATGTAGTAATTAGACAAGTATATAAAATAATTGAATTCCACGATTTAACAAGGTATTCTATAGGGTAACGATTGCTTGACCTTTAAAGTATGAAATGCGGTACTCGAAAGTTGTTTGAACCGGTTGTAGCTGCTTTTAGTCAGTTTTGAACCGGTTTTAGCTGCTTTGAAGTGTGTGTGTGTGTGAGTACGCTTCATTTCGTTGATTTTAGATGTAGTTATTAATGTGAGGAATGATAAATTATATCATATGCCTTTCCTTATTATTTATCAACTAATCCTTCGCAATAGGTATAAAATGTATTTTTCGAACGTTTTTAGCTATTACGATCAAATAATTTATAAAATATCTTTGAAATTGTTTATTTTTCACTTTACCGATTAGTTATGTCATAGAATAATAAGGTAAAGTATGAAATTTTTCATCTATAATGTACTTTAACAAACTTGTCTGGTTATTTCATAAAATACCTATTTATTCTATGAAATAACTGAATTGTACTCTTTATCGGTTACGTATACATAGGCTGAAAATTAGCAAAATAAGCGGATAAACGGCGAAAATGATTTTTGCGGAAACGTTAAGGAATCCCCCCTCTACTTCATTTTGGTTGGAAAAGCGCAATGGGAAATACAGCAATTAGAACTGAGCGATAGATCGATGCGTCGAAAAATATCGATGTTGTGCAATCATCGCCGATCCGATGTTTGGATTTGCTATTTTTCAAAGCATTGGAAATTCCGATGTACTGAAATGTGTACAATGTTTCCCGATATGTCTTTGACATCGATGACTACACGTACGATGTTGAGCACAGTTCTGGATAGCACATCGATGGTTTCAAGTGCACCCGAAGAGCACTAGTCCCGATCATGACATCGCGACGTTGCGCAATGAGCTGTACAGCGGCGATGATTGTTATCTTTCCTCGTTGCATTGTCGATTGTTACATCGCGACAAATCGTTTTGTTTACATGGTGTATCCCAATGTGACTGAGAATCGGAGTGTTGTTGAATCTCTTAGTTATGGAAGTGTTTTTCTTTTAATTTTGCAAATCCTGTTGATTTTTTTTACAGTCAATCCAGCCAATTGTCGTTTTTTAATTGCTATTTTGCAGACATCTACGTTTTTAAATATTGAGAAATAATTTTATTGTTAGAAAATATTTAAAAAAAAAGTTAAGTTTATTTAAATAAAAAATGCAACTTGCAAATTAAGAATTGTTAATATTTTACTTTTATTCCAGGATTCGTTTTACTTTTTTATACATTCCTTTCTTTTTTTTTAATAAATATTGATAGCAATGAACTATATTTAAGATGGTGGGAAATGTTTCAGTTTGATTTTATTTCATCAATATAATTGCCTTAATCGATCAATCAATCAAAAAGAGCAACAATTCAAATTTACCCACTACCAAATGCAAAACATTAATGTACCGACACATCGCGATGCATCAAAATATCGCGATGTTTGCAAGACGATACATCGCGATGCCAAAATCTTAAGATCGCCTAGTCCTACAAAAACGCATGTCTTTTTAATAATTCATTCTCAATATTATTGCTAGAGATTTTTTTTTAAATTGTTGTCAATTATTTTTATTGGCATTTTGCTTCAAATAATTTCATACAAGCAACTGAAATATTAAAATAATAGATTATTGATTAGATCTAAATTTTTCAAAAATCATTACTGGCTTAAAAAAGTCTTGAATTCTCATATCCCTTTTAACTCATCACAAAAATCTAATGTTTCGCGGAATACTGCTTGGGAATCACTGCTCTTGATAAACGGTTTCCAAATGGTGTTTCGTGGAACTTCCTTCGAAATGAACTTCAACTTTCACTTGCTATGACGTAGGTGATATAAACATTCTCTCTTCAGCAGCTCACCTTAGATGCACTCGATATCTTACTGTGCATGTTGGTGCATTTTTTTTTTTGCATTTTTTAATTAACTAAATGTTAATCGATTGTTATGTAGATATTAAATGAATTTCTATAATTATTAATCGGTAGGGGAGAGTGGGGTTAATTGTAACATTTTTTACTTAACAATTTTTAACTAACAAAAAATCCAATATATTATTAGTATTAATTGACAGACGCGTAAAGTAGACTATCCTCTACTAGAAAAAAAATACCTTATTTTAAATATTATTATATCAGTTATTAACAATTTTTGACAGTCGTGCACTTGTTACAATTGTCCCCACTCACGGGATCAATTGTAACAGTTCATAAATTCAATTAAAGCATAGTTAATTCATTTTATCATAGTTGTGATATATTTTTTTTTATTGATCAAAATAGTAGTGATATTTTGGGAGTAAAAATAATAATGAGCAGAGACCTAAAGTGTTAAACTTTTAACTTTAGGGGGTTAAAAACTTTAAATAATGCTGTGATATACAAATAAAATAATGCACATGCAACATAATATAAATGATATAAGAAACTATTGGTGGTTCTTAAAGAGTTAAGTAATGGTTTGTAAACATAAGATTACTTATTTTCAGCTGTTACAATCGTCCCTTTACTTATTGTTACAATCGTTCCCAAGACGCCATTTCAGCTTCATTTGTTGAAAACAATGCGAGTTAATTTATAAAACTAATCTTTTTTTTTAAATGTTAATTAAGATGTTCACTTACATATTCGGTTAATAATTTTTATTTGTTTAAACAAAATTACTTTGTTACAATATAATATTCTGATTCCAAAAAAGTGCTTACGTAGCATGAAAATATCTTTTGTGATATAACTCTTTCAAAAGTACATAAAAATGGTTGCCAGCAGGGGTGTACATGTAGATTTATTAAATACNTTTTTTTTAAATGTTAATTAAGATGTACACTTACATATTCGGTTAATAATTTTTATTTGTTTAAGTAAAATTACTTTGTTACAACAAAATATTCTAATACCAAAAAAGTGCTTACGTAGCATGAAAATATCTTTCGTGATATAACTCTTTCAAAAGTACATAAAAATGGCTGCCAGCAGGGGTGTA